CTTATTCTCCCCATCGCTGATTCCTGCTCATGGTATTGATCGCAAAGCTGTCCCCCTCACATCTCATCACACCGCTCTGTGTGAGCGAGTGTGTTTGTGCCTTTGTCAGTCCGTCTGATGGAAGATGTGGTCAGTGTCCCAGTGGAAGAATCTTACGATCAGGGAGGAAAATGGCCAAATTAGAACTATTTTCGGTAATGACACAGATCTATTGGTGGCTGGATCACACGCTGGACTTATGTAGCATTGAACCCAGTGGACTCCCACCTAATCCGGTCACTCCAGGTATCAAGAGATCACAGAAGTGGGGCGAAGAAGCCACTCGAAACTAACTGTGACACTGCTCAGCCACCTTCCCCCCTCAACCTTCGCCTCCTCCTTCTCCTCACTCTCGCGCCTCCTCCACCATGCCTCACAGGCCCGTCTGTCACCCCTCTATAATTATGAGGAGTGAGAGTAATGTGTTGCAGTATGAATAGGATTGTCGGCCTGATTGTGATGTATAGGCTTTCATTACCATGTCCAGGCCTGTGCCCTTCGCCATGTAGGAAATCCTATTTAGGCCCTAATTTGGGAGGCTCCCCGACCGTCCCGCCTGATAGCAATCACACACAGTAATTGTGTGCTGGGGCAACTGACAAGAGTGGAGGTTCAGACACGGAGAGAGAGAAAGAAGGATTGGGGGAAGAGGAGGGAGGAGCTCCTGACAATGATATATCTGCATAGTTTGGTACATTATTCAAGTCATCCTCTGCAGAATATGTATGTTTTTGTGTATATCTACTTATTTTAAGGTGGTATGTTGGAAAGATTTAGAGGCACTTACAGTAAGACCGGAGATGTTCACGTACAGGATTTGATGTGAATTTCAAATAGACAATTGGAGGGCTTCCCCTTCTCTCATTCTACATCAACAATGCTAGATAGCTAATTGGGAGGAGAGATCATGCTAACTCGATAATTATGATTTATGAGACAATCTCCAGTGGATATCTCCCCTGATTCGACGTCAACATGTAACCACCCCTCCAGCAATCAATATTTGTACATTTTCCATGTCTAAGTTGTTAAGTTTTTTTTTATATTTCATTAGTTCCTTTTTAGAGGGGAGCGATTCTCTGCACCAGCATTAATGCCGATCTGACTCCACTTATAGGCTCGTAGATAATGAATGTCTAATTGACTCATTTAAATACTGTTTGCCTGCAGGAGGGCCTTTGCATTAAATGTTTGATTGCCCTCATATTAACTGTCATTAATCCCCTTTGCTCTTAATAAGGACTTTATGAGGCTTTCTTAAAACTTCTCGCCTACCTCACTGTTCCCTTTGCATAATTAAGTAGAATATTCAAAAATATGGAAATGAAGGAGCTCTCAGGATTTGACTGATGGTCTTTGTGCCACAGAACTCTAATTACAGGCAAATCTTTGCATTTTCTGTTCTGCATTGGGTCATGGTTCATTAGCTGGGGGTCAGTTTGGGTCGATACAGTTAACTCTTCTGTTTAATGTCTAACTCGGGCCCGTTTTTCACACCGCACACGACATTTGATCAAACCGAAAGAAGTTCTTATACCTGTTGTGTTTGTCGACTGCCGTGTCCTTTAAAAGGAAGACGTACGACACGTAGGGAACTTTTGACAGCCATTACAAACTGTCACAGCACCAGAGTGGGTGAGAGACACAAACTTGTCTGTGTTTATAGCTTAACTGATCCTTTTATTCCTGCTACTGCAGTCTCTCTGCTATGCCCTAATCTCTCCGGGGGTCTTACTGGCCCAGGATGACAAATGGGAAGGAGAGGCCAGCCAAGCGTGGGCTCTGTGGAGAGGCTCAGGCCGAGGGTCTCACTAAGCCCCCTCAGCTCCGCCCTGGATCATCTCTGACATGGCCTGCACTAGCCCCACGAATGGAGAGGCCACACGCATCACACATAAACCCAGGTATGTGCACAGGGACAAACAGCCACAAATACATGCTTCCACACATGTAACCATACACACAGAGAAACACAAGAAGAGTTACAGTACACTATTCTAGCTGCTACCTTATATCACACACACACACACACACACACACACACACACACACACACACAACATCTCACACTTCTCAGTTGCACCAACAGTCCAACAATGTCAGCTATGAACGGGTGTCAGATAGAACCCAGCCAGCTCTATTTCAGTATACACAGTCCAGCTCAATAGGAGCATGTACTAAATGACTGCAATGTGATGAGTGGCTGTACTGTGACTCCGTGACAGCGCATGAGAATGTAATGTGTTGAAGCCTCCTTCTCTTCCCCCCTTCGCTCTCTCTAGCTCCATGCTCCTCTGCGCCCCACTGCCTCTCAGCCACGGGATCAGCTGCAGGCGCTAATGAAACGTCAGTCAGGTAATTGAGGCTCTGGTGGTGGCGGGCCAGCCAGGCAAGCAGTCAGCCTGTGTGGGTGATGACACCGGGACGCCAGCAGCTACAGGATCTCAGCAACCCCCTATGAAGCATCACAGGAACTGCTCCAGGAACCAGCCGGGTGGAAGACATTGCATTTATGCTGACATTTCCCCCATGTCTTCCTGTTTGTGTTAGGGAGAAATATGAGCGACGAGTGGTAAGGTGTGTACCGGTAAGTTGAGTCGTCAACTCAACCAGAGATTGTTAACCAGCTCGGTGAAAGCTGCTGTTAGTTAGGATGATGTTCTGCCAGCAGCCCGAGTGAAAGAGTCAGAGGTTGAAATCCTTTGTTATTGCACCCCAGAGTGATGTTACCATACCTGCCATCCGCTGACCTGCTCAGCACCCCCAGTGAGTTATGGGTAATGTTTAATTCCCCTGCCGTGACAGCTGCGGATCCGCATGGTAAATTGGATTTTTTTTCTTTTTTCTTTGTTAGAATTGTGCTTGTGCAGGTGAAGAGAGGGACATTCGCTACACTGGTTTGCCGAGGTAACTCTGTCACATATTGTTCAGAGGCCTCTCTATCTCTCACCGACAAATCAAATCAAACTGGTTTGTTTCTGAGGGCTGAAGGTAGAACAGAGTGGAGCTGATCTGTCCAACCTGGTCTCGTTTATAGTCAGCATGCAATCACAGCTCTGACCTGAGCGGACCGCACTCTGCTCACCCCTATGTTGCCTCCCTTTCTTCATCAGGTTAGCTCAGATCAACAATGAAATAAAAGTCCAAATATATGGATACGCATACAAGCTGAGGACCAAAATAGGACATGCATACATGTGCTTAAAAAAGCACAATTTTAAGGTTAAACTTGTTTCACAATCTTTGTATTCTCTGATTTGGAAATATTTCTCTGTACATGTAAATGTGTAATAAACCCGGTTTGTCTTTTCTATACTCTTAAATCACTCCTCATAAAGGACTTTTTTTCTATTTCGCCACTATTCCACCCTGTTCCTTCTATTCAAAGGAAGGACACCTTGAAAAACAACAACACCTGACCGGAGATGTTCTAAGAGCAGCACAGCACCGGGGAATAGGAAGTCTAGATTTAGTCCGCTCTACTCCACTCCACTCTCTTCTGCCTCCCCGGGGCTTTAATGTGGAGAGTGGACAGTGGGGTTAATGCCTCGCTGTAAGCACTGCTTAGTGCCAGTGATTGGGTTTGTGTTGCAGCAAGCCTTCCCCCCCACCAGCAAAAAAAAAAAATCCAGTGGAAATGACTTCCACTGTCCAGCCCTGTGGGCAACTGTGATTTTCCAACCTGCGGTTTCAACTCCCCTCCCCTTTGTTGCAGCTCAGTGTCCCACAGGGCACAGGTGAATCTGATGTGGAACCATGATTAAAAGTTTTCTCCCTCAAGGTGACCTAAATAGGAGGAGGTGAAAGTCAAAGTGACAAACATGGAGATGAGAGAGGGGCAAGGTGAAAGTCTGTTTTGGACATTTGTTATGGCCCATATGGTAAGCGCTCTATTCCCGAGCTTAGGAGGGGAATTGTCAAGACCCTGTCCTTACGCTCCTATTGCACCATTCCTGCCTCTTTCCCTTGTAGTAATCAGAGATTGTATGTGACATGATGGGTATAAAGCAGTGTGCCACAGCAAGGAGGCATCAACAATCTAATCATTGTCTCATCAGCGATTACTTCAAGGCGTGATGTATTTGAACAGCGTTCTATCACATCTGCTATTACCTGCCTCCTCCTGCCTTATATCCCTCAGTACACATCTTTTCTCTTAACTGTGTGTTCAATCACATCCACCGGCGTCGCCCCGCTGGTGCGGCCGAGCGACCCCTCGACAGTGACGTATGCCAGCGATTAGCCTGGATACAGTTCAATTATGATAAACAGCCAGTGCACCTCTTAGGCCGTGATTAAAGCCTCAGCCCGGCCTTGATAAAGAGATCCCATCTCAATGCCATCACAACCACATTATAAGACACTCCGCCGTGGTGTTCTGCCTCATGCTTTTCACATCAGTGTTGCAGAACGTACACTGTAGCCTGGATGGAGCTCATGGCAGATGGAGCAAGATGGGAGCTGCTGGGGGGGGGGGGGGGGGGGGGGGGGGG